ACGAAGCCTGAGGTCCTCAGGTAACATAGACCACAGATTGAAAATTCAGAGATTTTTGACATAAAGGTCAAATGTAAAACTAAAATCTTGCCTGGCCAGAGTGCTTTCATAAAAATAAATTACTAGCTTGGCGTTATAGGATTAAATACTTTAATTTCGGATCGAGTGAAGCGAGTGATACACATTACTAGGTAGTGCGCCATCGACAGTGAGCCGCGCGTGCCGACTGTGGGATGGTTTTTTAGCGCTAATTTCGGCCAGCACAATTTTCTTCAAACAAATAGATATTAAGTATTTTTCCCGACCTCCGATTGCAACAAAAATTGGTAAGCTTACTCATAGACTTACAAGAAATGTGTCCGAAAAGTTTAAAGCATATCCAACCATCAAACATTATGTTACAGCTAAAAGCAGCGTATTTTTCCCCATTTTGATCACTATATCAACTCCGCACAGGAGGAGCAAAGTGCAAAGAAACTGTCACTAACTGCTACAAACTGCCACTAACTGCCACTAACTGCCACTAACTGCCACAAACTGCCACTAACTGTTACAAACTGCCACTAACTGCTACAAACTGCCACTAACTGCCACTAACTGCCACTAACTGCTACAATCGCGCCCACGCACTGCGCGCGCAGTTTGCAGCAGTTAGTGGCAGTTTGTAGCAGTTAGTGGCAGTTTGTAGCAGTTAGTGGCAGTTAGTGGCAGTTTTCTGCAGTTGCGCCGAGCCTTTTAGCAATTTGTCTTTGGCGCCTTACATGCCACATGACTTATTGACATTGTATAATTGGTCTAAAAACAATTTTGTATTATTATAAAATATATGAATTTGGGACAAAATAATTTACTATCGAAGGAAACAAATATTAACTTTTTGACAAGAAAAGCGATTACCAACTAGTACTACATTTACACAAACACTGCATGGCAATACGATTACAAATTGTTTAAATGTTAAATCCGGGTATCGCTATTAGTATTGTGCTATTGTGCCAAAATTACAATATTATATGGTCAATCGTAATCATTTGCAATTTGGAAGACCCCTCTGCTGATATGTAAACAACTCCTTATACTTACTTGATTGTAGCAAACCGCGTGATGTTTATTGATCATCAGTTCGATAGGACGATAGTTATGAGAAAAGCTACAAAACTACAATTTCCATTACCAAAGTTTTAGAACTAAACGCTTGATTGAAGGTTCAGAACTTTATTTGAATAACAGGGCCTCCCACGGATTGAACAGTTTTGTGCGGAGAAAGAAGTGAAGAGAGTACGAAGCCAAAGAGTTCTCCGACAATTATTCCAGCCAGCCTCGCCGCAGCAACGCCAACAGCAAGCAGGGACTTATCCATGCAACATATATAAGTATATACAACGCTGACCCAGAATGGACATGCCACGGTACCACTATAATATTTGCTTCGATTCTCCGTGATACTGATAGCACTAGCAGTAGCAGAATTTGCTGCTTGTAATTCCTGGGCGTTGCTGAACCTGTCATTCCGCCCTATCTGCTATAGGCATATTTTTAATCGCCATAATATGTTCAATGTTAAATCAATGTGTTTAACTTAATAAATGCAAAAGCCTGAGCGAGGTTACCCAGGTAAATTAATCTTTGCAAGTTGAATTTGCGTTTCTGAAACCACTCTCTGCACTGGTAATTGTATTTAAAAGGGAACACAAAATGATGTACGTGACCAAAATTATTCCCCGCGCGACGCGATAAGATTCTCTTTCAGCATTCAGAATTCTCAGAATTAGGCAACGGTAAGTTTATAATCTTTAACTTTAACTGTTTGGAAACAGGTGTTGTTATTTTATGCTGGGAATCCCAAAAAGTGCTTGATCGGCCAGTTCATCATTGTGTCTCGCTAAATACTTGGCTAGTTTCATTATGCTTCGACTAATCATCACTGTTGGCTTGGGGATGGTATTCAACTGTTGAGGGCCTACTGTAACAGCCATTAATACGCTTATAGTTTTCAGACAGCTACTAACCGATATCCAATGGGTCTCAGCCATAGAACAATACAGGCTCAATTCGGTGGCTCGGAAAAGTATAATCTATAATATTGAAAGGTTCATGCGCAAATTTACCTAGTTTAGCCGTCATTGATTAGGTACAGACCGACGGAATTGCTCATCAGCAGATCTTGCGCTTCCGCTGCTGTATCGGACGTCTGTGATCAAAGCAGTAAAGTCGACCTCCCATAAATTGACAACAGGATGTCCCCTGATTCTCCTAGGTTTCTGGATAGAAGTCGACTATTTATGCTCAATTCTCGAGCCGATAATAGTCTTGCTTAGATTTTCAGACAATAGTCTTAAGATTCCTGTTGGTTTCATCGGTGTAATTTATTACAAATATTATCTGTTCACCTTAAAGTTAGCAAATTTTGCTTTTCGCAATTGAAACTATAAAAGCGATATGATTAGTCTTGCCAAAAAAAGGTGGCTCGAGCTCCATTCCCCCCTACATTCAGTAGGGTTTTGTGTTCACCTGGCTTATATATCAGGGATATGATAAACACACGAATCAGGATGTCTGGAAGGAGTTTCTAGATGTCATGGACACGTGGTGTGACGGCGCAACAAAGAAGAAGATACTTTAATTTCGCAGTACACGTTCTACCGAGAGAAAAGAGGCTTATTCTCTACTGACGCTGCCTCAAGTTTTAGCCAAGATTCTGACGGTCCAGTCTCTTGGTGGAGCAACTTCGGTTGAGAGGTACCCGAACTACAGAGTTTTCCAATGAAAGCGCTGTCGCAATCGACATCAGCCTCACCCTGTGAGACGAATTGGAGCTTGTACGACTGGGTGATAAACAAAAAAAGAAACCGCCTCACAGTTAACAAGCAGCGAGACCTTATTAATATTATTATTTATGTTATTATATTTATGTTATTATATTTATGTTAACACAAGTTTGCGTCTTATGAAAAATTCACGAATTAAGGAGCAATAATTTTATTATTATTTGCTTATTGCTATACTAGTGACTTATTTTTATTCATTATTGTTTATTTACTGTCTAATTCCGACAACATAGTTTTATCTCATTGTATCCATTTAAAGTTAAAAACGGACATTAAAATGAACGCTCGGAGCCCGGAGGCATTCAAACGTTTACGTACGGGCGTTGACTTGAACGTAAATGGGCAGACTATTTAACTTTAAGGTTAAACGGATATTAATATATGTACGCTATGCCCTAGCTGGGGCCTCTTCTTTACTGGGCCGCGCTCAGCCTGTCATTCCGCCAAATCTTTATATGTTAATGAACATGATAGCCTGAGGTCCCCAGGTAAGCCTCTTCTCAGACTCTCGAGCGTTCAATTTGAATTGGTGTCGATTCAAAATTAAAGTTAATTAAAGTTCAATAAGATAAACTTATCATTGCTGGTTTGATTTTGGAACCTTCTCTAGACCTAGTAATTTTGGATTCGTAAGTTATGTGCGAGAATAGCTTCCCAGTCCCACGTCAAAGTGATTTATAGATTATCCTTATTTTTAAGGGAATCGTTAGGTATTCGTATACTTATAATATAGTTTAAAGTTTTATTATTACACGTACGTGACCAATATTATTCCCCGCGCGATGTTATTACAAATTAGATTCTCTTTCACTTTGATCAGTTTCTTTCAAAAACAGATTCGCGCGTCAAATATATTTAGTTTGCGCGCTTTTGGTACTCCCAAAAGTACGTCAAAATGCAATTCTGTGAATTGCATTATTATAAATTTATAGTCATAGGTAATAGGCTCCATGTCATTGTCCACAGGACTGGTCACCGTTAACCTTGTTTAACTTAAACTGGTCGGAAAACGCGGATGTGTTATGAAAAATAATGTTTATCGCTTTGCCATTCGGCCGGTAGAATTAGATCAGAAAATCATGCGGATACCGATCAGACGATAAAACAGTTATCGAATTTTATACCTTTACCTAAGGCTAATGGTGATGCAACGCTAATGGAATACCTTGATCAGAAAGAAGTAAGAACTTTTGCTTTTGGCAAATCTAAAAACCACGGAAATTTTCAGCGACATCAACGCTAAAAGTAAAATCGGAAACGATTTTCACTTCAAGATCTACTTAGAGAAAGGGTAATCTTACTGTAGGTAGTGCGACACGTACTGTAATGCGACACGTACTCTAGTGCGAAGTCCGACAAAAACACCCTCTGTCGCACTAGGGTACGTGTCGCACTACCATCCAGGTAGCGTACTCTACTGCGACAAAATATCCTGACTTATTTCCAAGCTCAGGTCACATCCTATCCTTCTTATGGACCATTAAGTGATTCGTCGGGTCGGTTCACGTCACTTATTTCGAATTGATCTTGCGAATACGATTCGTCGGTTCACATCACGTGTTTCGAAGTGATCCACTGATCACAATTCCTTCGGGTCAGTTCAAGCCACGTATGCAGTATGTGATCCACCGGGTAACTCTTAAGCAGCATATGATCCTCATTCCTATCACACGTATCGTATGAAGGTATATCTCCGATTTGATTCACGATGTCAATCCTTCGCAGCTCGGTGAGGCACAGTGGTGCATCTCGCCGATCTACCGAAGGATTGATGCATAACAACAAGACACGCGCTAAAGACGCGCATTTTCTGAGTGATGTTAACGATATCTTTAAATTCACTGATGTCATTATTATTCAGCGTGACCGGTAATAGTTTAAAAATCAGAAGGAGAAAACACATGTATAAATTACTAAAAAAGGAGTATCACTTTACAGGATTGAATTTAAATATAGTCATAATAGATAAGAGAGGAATTTGTTTCCCTTTGAATCAATCAAACTAGATGAATTGTTGTAAATACTTAGATCAAACTATCAATCTACAGGCCATCGTCAAACATGTTGCAAGGCGTCATCTTCAGTGACATAATAGATAAGAGTTTATTAACTATCATGCCAACTTTAGAGACGGTAACCACATTAAACTAAAGTTTTCCCAATCAAAATAAAGGGTTTATGCAAAATAAAAGGTTTATGCACTAGACTGCGAGACAATTAACCTTATGCAATGCAGGTTAGTATAACTATAATATCGGACTGAGTTGAAATTTCTGAGAGCATGATACCCCAAAATAAATATATGCCTGTGTCTGGCAATAGCGTTCAGATGGCTTCCGAACTTGTGCGGATAAGATAATATAAAAAATACAAATAAACTATAATAACAATCTGAAAATTAATGTATCAGTACAGATCTTATACTCGAAATCAGGCACTTTCAAAACATTTCTCTTAAATTATCTTTCTTAACACCGTTCAATTGTAACTTTAAATTAAAATATTATGATGATCCGGACGATGATAAATATTAAATGGTAATCGATCATCGGCAGATGGATAATCGTTAATAGGTGTGCATAATTATTATTACAACTGATTATATTTATGGATTTCGGCCTGTCGATGCTGGAAGCTGATCAGCTAATCGTTAATTGTTACCATGTGACAAGAATAGTATGATGAACCTCCCAATCAGTATCTATGTATCAAAAGAAAATATTGATCTAATTCAACTCGTCGGGAGCCCTTTTGAAACATCTCGAAGTTAGAGTGCAGAGTGCATGATTACTGATTATCAGCACGATTGGGTGAAACAAAGACGAAACCGTGTGTTGATTAGAATTAAAAGAGGAAGATATTTAGTGATAAATTGTGCACTCTTGCATTTAAGTTTTAATTGTTAGACTTGTTCGATGTAGGGCCTTTAATTTAACCTAATACTAATGCAGTTACTTAATACTTGGTAAGTCTAGGGAAAACAGGTGCTAGTTGTCGGAAATGAAATGGAGTCTGTTCCTGATCGAAGTTACATGATGCTGATAGATTTGATGCAGCTCAGCACTCAGCAGCCACTGTCTTCAAATAGAGTGTTCCAGTTCTGCAATCTGCAGTCTCAAATGTTTTCGCCCAGCTTTTCTTTTCATCGTGGTTATAGAAGACAGACCTGAAGAAATACTAGTATAATGATAATATAGGTAACATGTCCAGAATGAGTAAAATTGTATTATCGGCAAATTTACTTATGTGAAAACTCCCAACAGGGTGGCGCTGGCCCAAAAGTAACTGCACACAAGCAACCCTTTAATGATCACGCACGTAATTTGTGTGAAAATATGTAACTCATTTAACGAAGTCAGTGAAAAGAACCTACCTTTATTTACCAATGTCGATTTTTTGCTTGTGATGAAGCAGTCCTCGCAAATGTGAGATATGTATGTAGTTTGTTTTTAAAAATAGGATTGTAGTCATAGTCGATGTATAGCGACGGTAGTTTACCAGCAGCTCCCTGTACAAATAGAAATGTGGTTTTTATATAATATTACTAGTTAAATTAATGAGTACAATGCAGGAATAAAAAAATGTGTCTTAAATGTTTTATATTAAATGTGTTATAATTATATTAACCACCTTATATTCGTATAATATGTACTCACAAACAATGATAGTCCCAACTGTTTTTAATTGCTTATAATTTAAACCTTCTTATTAAATAATTTAGATGACTGTGTCTGATCTAAAATTGCACGAGAAATAGATAAGATTAGGTCTCAGACAGAACTCGACCGGGATATAACCGGCGCAGCCGGAATACCGGCTGGTATTTGGCGATTTTGTACCGGTACCGGCCGGGATTTTGGTTTTAGCCGGGATTTTTCCAAAATAAATTCAGTTTTTCTCAACGTTAATTTGAGTCCAAAATTAACAAATCTGTGAACATTTTCCTAAAACATTTTGACGAAATCATTGAACAATGGAGACTGGAGTCAATCTATATTTAACATAATCATGGGTGTACGAATTATGGACTTCTTTCTGACTTATGACTTAATTATTGTGACTAAGTGTCACGGCTCACGGTCTTGTGTTACCGAGGAACAAGTAAAACAGAGTTCTCCGGGTAAAGAAAGCATTAATAAATGCTATTCAGTATTCATCCTATTCAATTATTCAGGTAAGGTGATGTAAACTGTAAAGTGATAAGCTCCAACGTCAAACACCATGTTCAATTAAATAAGTTTAAGTAACCAATACCAGATCACAGGATTGTTATAGTTACGGAGACTGTTGGAAACGATGCAAACCAGGATCGGACTCCTATCAGAAATAGTCGACCACCGGTCCAGCCTCCCTCAAACTCAAATGCCCTACCACTACCCCAGACCACATCCACCTCTTCAGCCAGGAACAGCGCTCCCACTATACCACTACCAGCAGTTCCTACCGCCTCAGAGGATACACTGCACGTGCCCGTTATTCCTCATGCCTCGTCTTAAATGTCCAGTCCATGAATCCTAGTGCATCAAGTGCGAGTATATGGGAAGTGCCAAAAATCTCAGCTCTTATTCAATAGATTACTATAGTCGCCTTGAAAGCACCGAAAATGAACTACCTTGTGCTGCATTTCACGAGCAGATCATGCTGGGCCTTCCTTGGTATACCAACATCTCAAAGCTTCTCACCAAATACAACTTCCCCCACTCATCTTCATCAAAATCTAAGCTCTCCACCCAAATCAGTCATAATATGAGGGAAGAATTCGTGAATACCTGGAAATCTGCCAAGGCCTCCTCACCAAAACTAGAATTCTATAACTTAATTAAACATGATTTTGAACCAGAGGCATACCTACGAATAATCAAAGTACCTGATTTTCGAAAAAGCTTGACAAGGTTTCGTATCAGCTGCCACAACCTCTACGTTGAAAGGGGCAGATACGAAACCCCTCTTGTACCAAGAGAAGAACGTTGGTGCACTTACTGCTTTTTCAGTAAAGGGCTCAAACCTATCGAGGACGAAAGCCATGTATTAATTGACTGTTTGCTTTACTCCTCAGTTAGGGAAAAATTCAACTTTTATCCCCAATACATCACTGACCTAGCCGGTCTGCTCTCCAACAAAAATCTAGATCCTACCAAATTTACTGCCACAGCAAGAGCAATCCATTCAATTCTCTCTGTGAACGAACAATATACAGCCTATTATAAGAGCCCAGATTTCCACTCAAATACTGGCAAGTGCATAATGCTCTAGGAACTCAAAATAAACTCATGAACCATACAAATTTGATTTACTTAAAGAAAATAGCATTATATTATAACATTTCTATTTTATCCCTACACATTTGTAAATGATTAGAAGTGTGTAACTTAAATTATTTCAGAATTATAACTATTGTGAACTCAATAAAATAATTATCACTTTTGTATCCTTGTATCCTTGTATCCTTGTATCCTATTCAGGAGAAATCCAAAAACCACTCGTTACCGTTTAAATTGCACTTACGGAAACGTGGATCAAGTCCTACATATCAGACAAATACAAAATGTGCATCACCTCTTTCTCCTGCTGAGCAGAACCTCCCCCTTAAAAGTAAACAAATCTGCATCGCCTCCCAACGACAATCCAGATATATTAAGCAGTAGAGACAATCATTTAAGGAGACTTCGATATCTATCAGGATCATGATTATACTGCCTGAGAACTCAGCACTTCAGGATGAAACATATAATATTTGGTTTTCTCGATTTCATTCATATTTAGACAGAAGTCCGTGTAGATAATTGGTTATAGAATAATTGGATATAATTTTATGCGAAGTTGTGTCTGCGAAAATATACGTGTGAACTGGTCATCCCGCAAATGCTGAAAAAGTAGATGTTACCTATCATAAAATAACCGCTCGCACCGTACACGACAGAGTTGTGACTGCGTTTACAAATTCTTTATCATATTGATGTGTTGCCATGGCAACCGAAACTCCATCGGAAGATCGGCCTGTAAGGCATAATCATGATAATACACAGTATCAAAACATTGCCATTGATATCATAGCAACATTCCAGAGATTAGATTATGTGTGTGTAAGAAAATGTATGTTATAGTATTATACAGTCTGCTAGAACATTCCGTTTACACATGGTGGCCGATAACAACTTGTTTAATTTATCTCCGAATTACACACAAATTTCTGAAAGTTTCGTAGACTTAAATCAATTACAGAGGGTGTGGCTATTGGCCAGCCCCTCTATTTCACTATTATGGTTGAAACTATAAGAATACAGATTATATTGTTACAGTGATTTTACAAAAGTCGAAACAGTAAACACCAATTTGTAGGATACTTTAAATCACACCAAAATTGGTCCCAGAATGCAATGAAATCTGATGGCGTCTTTTCAGTGAAAAAGAGGCCACACCCTCTGTAATTGATTAAAGTTTACGAGACCTTTAGAAAATGAGTTATATAACTTGCAACTTAAACTAAGATAAATTGAGTATTTATACTCAATTTATCTTAGTTGCATGAGTAATATATATATACTCTCATTTTTTTTAGAGCAAACGTAATTTAAATGGCCAAACACAATTCAATAAAATTTGGCTCGATCCGATTATCCAAACTATCAAATAAATGCGAAAATGAACCTTCTTTTGAAAACAATGAACACAAATATGTTTCGATTTGACAAATTTCTCGAACCAGTGGTGGTACTAAGTCATACCAGAACCAATTATTTCAATTGGGCACTCAGTGACTGAGCTATTAATGCCAACGTTTGCACACTGACTTTTGGCCCACCCTGTATATTTATAATATACGGCTGGAAAAAATGTAACTGGATATCTGCCACAATGCTGCTATAATTAAGGTTAAAGTAACATTTAGCACATAAAGAAGTCTGGTTTGCTAGGTTTTAATTGGTCGTATAATAACAAATAAAAATGAGTTAAGACTACAAAAACGGTCGATAGAACCTAATTATAATACCTGTATCGAGAACTCGACTTGAATGCACTGATAGCGTTGGTACTAACATTCTATCAAATTATGTCATATCTTGAGACTTGATAGCTGCCTGAAACAGTTTTGAGTCAACATTATCGTGATATTCTAGAAATTGAAACCAATTCTCAACTTTAAAAAAGCAGGTTTCAATAAATGCCATAGAATTAAATTCTACCTTTTTAAATTCTAAGAATTTGTTGATTTATTAAAATTCTGTCTCAATTAATATATAAGGGTACATGCAATGTATTTCGACACGCACTGTAGACTCACTTATTGGATTCGTGCTAGATGCTGTGTACGTCACCCTCTTAACCACCTCTATGGCGAAGATGAGGATGGTAAGTGCAAGTACAGTAGTGTGAGGAGAGGATGGGTATCATTTAGCACATTTTTGCTGTAGGTGTAAAGTAGCTCTTAGTCAAGGAGTATATAAATGACGGCACGACAAGGTTCTGCAACAGATCTCTGAACATGTTATCTTGTGAGCGCCGAGTGAACACTTATAAGAACAAGGCCAGCGATGTAAGACAGTATCATTGACTTAGTCCATGCTGGGAGGAAAAAAGCAAGTACAGACGACCGAAAGGAGTCGTGGTTTGGGATCCTGAGTGGGTCTCGATATTGGATAGTGCTTTTATATATCGGACCTTATGATATTCTCAAGGTCACCAAGACGGCACAGTCTTATGGCGGGAGGTAACGGTACCATCTAAAGAGCAGATTGCTGAATCATACGAGTAAAAACTCTACCGGTACAGCAGTCTTACAGCAGACTGAGATTCAAGCGAAAGAATTGTGCTGTTATAATTATGCGGTTAAAGTTCTAGCACCGGGAGTGGTTGTTAACATTTTGGAGAGAGCTGAGTAGGCTCGTACGGGATAGAAGGGAAGAAGCAGCTCACTGTTCCAGATGGATCTACTTCTTATCAAGGAAGAAGGAGTGGTAGGTATAGTAAGGAAGATTGGAGCCTAAGAGTTAACTTAACATCTAGAGGTACCACAAACTTTATCTCGTCGCCAATTGCGAGCTTTAACGGGTTTCCTCAAGTGACTCGATGGTTTAATTGTGACAAATCATGATACGAACTTTGATGAACCCATAATAGTATAGTGCAATAATACTATGATAGTATTCTCATAAGTTCTACCCTTGCAACCGAGTACAATGTACATACTAAGTGATATCAAGCTGCAATCTAAAATTTATTAATTGAATCTCAAAATAACTTCAAATCTTACCTAATAATTGCGACATCGTTGGAAGTGAGAAATAAAATACATTAAATTTTAATCCAATTCTGCGAGAGAAGATTTGCCCAGACAGCTGACAAGAATGTATTACCATACTTCCTGTAAATGTGGTAGTTATTAGGTCATATCAAACTTGAAAATTATGTCAAAGTTTTTCTCAGTCTCTGGTGTCAATCACCAGTAGAGTGCCCAGCCGCACCAAAACAACCTGCGATTTTTACGTGGGAAACATCGTATAATACACATGCTATACACTCTAGTTTTATAGCAGCTACTGATATCATGCGGCAGTATTAATAAGCATACAAATTCAGCGCAAAAATTGTAAAGACGACACAAATTCATGCGGGATGTTAATAAATGTGTCCATGTTGAACTCAAACTCCGACAGAATAATATTTCAAATCGGATATATTATAATTAATCAAATGGTATCTGCTCATGTTCCGTCTATATAAACTACAAAACTTAATAAATTAGTGAAGTTCTGAAACAAAGATCACGACTAGGTTTTATCAAAATTGAAAAGAAAACCGATCGAAGTGCACTAGAGATATAGTTTAAGTTTAAAGGGTCATCATTACTAAAATCTCTTCCTAGCTCCTTGATTCACGATGTCAATCCTTCGCAGCTCGGTGAGGCACAGTGGTGCATCTCGCCGATCTACCGAATAGAAGTACTAATCGCGAAAAAATGTATACGACCACACAAATTCAGGTTATCCCATGCTGGTATAGTTAGTTAATCTAAAAATAACCATATAATAAGACAAATTAACTAATCTCCATGCCACATTCTTGGTAATTACGGAAGGTACGAAAGAAACATCTTTTATTTATAAAATCACTCACTCACAAAATTGCCGACCCATTATCTATTGAATGTTGAACAGTTGAAGTGGCGAAGATCTTTTAAACAACTTACAACTTACAATTTACATATCAACATTATTGCTGCAGCAGATACAAATAATAACATTATTATATTCACACTCGCTTGAACAATTAAATTAATTAGGAAGTTGAACCCTCAACTTTTAGTTTTACTGTTTTTGAACTGATAAGCATCTACTCCAGGACCAACTGCCAATGAGCTTTGGAAGGTTGACACAGTAAATGGACAGAACTTGTGACGTAAATAAATTTGTTCATGTTGACCGCCAACTCCGACAGAATAGTAGATCAACATGATTTTAGCTCATTTTAGCTCGTATTCGCTACAAACTACAAAACTTAACATATTTTCTAAGTTCCAATACAGCGATCACGACTGTTCTGACAAAGCACTAGCAACTAGGAAGGTTCTTTAAAATTCTTAAAAGTGTCATAATTACTAAAATCTCTTCTTAACAATCAAGTTGTTGATCCTAGTTCTATACACCTAAACGAGTACAAAATGACAGCCTTTCAAGTTGAATTTATCGATATCCAGCTCAGCATACGGCTTTTTTAACCAATAATGGGTATATACCGATGATCGGTGAACTAGTAGATATTCGATTATATTACCATGAAACATAGTATTGTAGTTAAAAATCTTCCTGAATGTGTAAATATAACATAAAGAAACACGTACTAGTTTGCTGAAACGAAAAGCAACTATTTAATTAAAATAAATGAACAGTATTCAAATACACAATTAAAAATACAAACTCCAACATAATCGACAGACAAACTCAATAAATGAAGATTTCGTCGTGAAACGAGCTATATATACAGCTATAACGTAGCGCTCGACTCCAGTCTGGACCAAAATTAAGTCGCGTTCGTAGGAAATTGACCACCAGCTGCTGGTGGTTCGAATGTTGGTTTGCACACTACTGTGGTTGCGAGAAGCATTATTTGATGCGCGCGCGACCCAGTAGTGCATCGCGCTACAAATCTCCGATTTGGATAACAAGTTCATATTCTTGGGCCATATATAAAGTCACGATGATTCTACCAAAGCATCGAACAACATCAACATGTATTCTTCAATCACCTCCATTCCTGGACGCACTACTGGTTCAAGAAACGTTATCCACGACGGATACCGCTACTGCCTGGATAATTAGAAGCGCGACGACAGGACCTACTGGCGATCCACTGGGAAGATCTGCTCCGGACGTCTCAGTCTGATCACTGATGAACGACACTACTGTGACCAGTACGAAGACTTATTCCCACCCTCCTACTCCTGCAGCAAACTCTGTCCACACAGCAAAGCAGCATATGAAACGGAAAGCTTCCGATACTGACCTCCCTACGAAACACCTAATTGCTGATGCTGTTGGACATTATGAAGCCCTCTTGGATGAGCTCCTTGCTTTTGGAGTCGACCCTCAATCTGTCATGAGTGACTACGAGAGAGCCCTGATAAACGCTGTGGAGACAACCTGTATACATCCAAGAGAGGATGCTTCTTCCACCACAAGCAAGCACTTTGGAGGAAGATGCAGCAACATGATCTAGTCCCGGAATACAACGCAGAGAACTCAGCAGTACGGAAGTACTTTAAGATGATCGGTGCTATTGCCTTCGTGGACCTAATCTTCGTGGACCTAATCTTCGTGGATTGTAAATGTAATCTTTGATTTTATATTTAACCCCATATTTACTCATACACGACTACACTCTTATCATTAAAACTTAAAATGGAAAGTCAAATTTTTATTGCGTAAAGTGTTTTGTCGCACTTTAGTTCGTGTCGCACTACAGTCCAGGTAGCGCACTGTAGTGCGACAGTGTCGGCCTTGAAATTTCTCTGTCGCACTAGGGTACGTGTCGCACTACGATCCAGGTAGCGTACTCTACTGCGACAGTGTCGATCTTGGAGGTTTCGCACTAGGGTACATGTCGCACTAGAGTACGTGTCGCACTACAGTACGTGAACCGAACTGCTGAAGGTAATTCGTTAGAAGGCTTACATCTCGATCCCGGGGTGCGGATAGAAGAAAAACATTATTTATAGTCTTGGACACTTATAACTAGCTGATAGCACAGACTACGTTTTTGTTAGGAAGAATTAGGGTCCGCAAATATGATGTCATTGTCAAAGTATGAGTATATTTACTTTGATAGACACCCGGCTTAGTTGTAGTGAACGTACGGAACGTTCACTAAAAATAGTTTGTGAACGCGTTCGCTAAAAGATTTAACGTTCGGAACATAAGGTAAAGGAAAGTTAATCAGATTTGAAATATTAACACGTCGACACGCCATCGTTTCCCGCAATTTTACTTGTTCTAGATGAGTTAGAAGAGTTTTAGCGCGCGTGCATGCACGTGTCAGCAGAAAATATTTTAAATGCTAATAATTTAGGTATTTAATGAAAAAATATGTTAGTCTCATTATCGTATAATGGTCAGCATCCGCAATGTCTATCAGTACAGCATCTCTACGTAATTGTGTACACTGTATAGTACACGGAATGAAGTATCGAGCATTAACAGATATATGTGTCATCATTAATTATGGATGAAAATACCTTTGAACTATTGAAAGTTGATGATCAATAAACGTCATGCGGTTTGCTACAAGTACAGTCAAGTTAGTATAAGATCTGTCGAAATTCGAGTGAAATTATTTTCATTCCCATACATTCAAAAACTTAGCCAGTAAACCTTATTAATATTTAGACATGATAAGTAATTAATACTTTCAACACTACTATATAACAAATAATTTGAGCTGTAGAATGGGAGAGGAACCGCAACCCTCACACTCGTTCGAAGCCCTGGTTACTCATATCATTGATATCGACAAATTCTGGGTACAGCCGTTATATAACAACGAGGATAGAAAGAAATTAGCTGTTATAGAAAGTGCGCTACGAAGCAGTGCTAAACCAGTCTCAGGGACTGGTAAAACTCCTAAATCTGATGATTATGTCAATGCAATTCTCCGGAGAAAACCATTGAAGTAAGACGGAAGATATATCAGCAGCAACTCTCCACTCTTATGAATCTCAAAAGCAATCATCGTGCATTGTAAACTTGAGTGGGACATAGTTTTAGCAGTAGATCCTTTTAAGAAGGGCATTTATAATTCATTTATTCAACGTTATACATTTCGTTTATTTTTCTTCAATTATTTCAGATTATTTATTCGATGAATTGTTCAATTGTCAAATTTTATCAGTGTTATATTTCGTTGATTGAGAAATAAATGAATGTATGAGTAATATCTATATGTGCTATTTCTGCTTAGTGCTGTGTATGGCACGCTTGTTACACCAGCTTTAGCATCCAAGTGGAGCGAGGATGAGGATGGGATGTGCAAGCTGTGTGGTGACAAGTTGGGAACTGTGCCGCATATTCTGGCTGGTTGTCCTGTGGCACTAAGTCAAGGGAGATACCGATGGCGCCACGATAAGGTGCTTAAACAAATAGCAGACCAAGTGAAATTCCATTGTGAGCGGAGAGTCAACAAGAGGAAGAGCTCTTGTGTCACTCGGAAAGCCATTGAGTTTGTTCCAGCAGGAGGGAGGTTTAAGGAGGTGAAGAGGTCGAAAGTCAGTGAGTTTGGGATTCTGAGTGGGGCCACTGATTGGATAGTATTAGCAGACCTGGATAAGCAGCTGAAATTCCCGTCGGATATAGCAACGACCAGATTAAGACCAGATTTGGTTCTTTTCTCGAAAGCTTCCAAGAGAGTAATCTGGTGGGAGCTTACAGTACCGTCGGAAGAGAGAATAGCTGCATCCCATGAGCTTAAGCTTGATCGGTATAATAGTCTACAAGCGGAAATACAAGCTAATGGGTGGTCATGTTTCAGCTTTGCTGTTGAGGTTGGTGCTAGAGGTGTGGTCGCAGCAAGTTTGGAGTGTGCATCAAGGAAGATTGGTCTGACTGGGAGAGCCCTCAAGAAGTTGGTCAGAGATTGTGGGAAGGATGCAGCCCATTGTTCAAGATGGATTTATCTGCTGTCTAGGAAAAGAGAGTGGGAGATGAGAGCTGTTTGAGCTTTATGACTTCACCTAACAGCCAGAGGTGCCATAAGCTAACTCGTCGTAAACGCGAGCTCTAGCAGGTATCCTCGGGTGATTGTCAGATCAGATGGTGGTCCAAGAGAGACTGCTGGGGCACCTGACAGAAAACCGTATCGCAATGAAAGCCCCGAAACGGTGTCAGGTTTG